TTCCGATCCAGGAGCATGGGATGTCCTTCCACTTTTTTATGTCACTTTCAATATCTTTTTAAAGATTTTCATAGTTTTCTTTATAAAGGTCTTTGACTTTCTTAGTTAGGTTTATCCCTAGCTATCTTATACACCTTGTGGCTACGGTGAAAAGGATTTCTTTCTTCAGCTCTGCTTCATTCAACTTGTTCATAAATAGAAATGGTATAGACTTCTGGATATTGATTTTGTATCCTGCCACCTTACTGTATTCACTTATTACTTCAAGAAGTTTTTTCATGGATAACTTTGGGTCTTCTATGTATACTATCATGTCATCTGCAAATAAAGATATTTTCAACTCTGCTTTGCCTATTCAAATGTCTTTCCTATTGTTCTCTTCTCTGACTGCAATAGCTAAGACTTTCAGTACTATATTAAAGAGAAGTGGAGAAAGTGGGCAGCCTTGCCTAGTACCTGTTTTTAGAGGAAAAGCTGAAAGCTTGTATATTGTTGTATATTACAGTTATGGTCTTGCGTATATTGAACAACCCTTGCATCCCTGGTATAAAGTCTACCTGGTCGTGATGAATGATCTTTGTTATATGTTGTTGGATACGATTTGTGAGTATCTTGTTGAGAATTTTTGCATCTATATTCATCAATGATATTGGTCTGTAGTTTTCCTTTTTTGTCATGTCCTTATCTGTTTTGGGGATGTGAACGATGGAGGCTTCATAAAATGAATTTGGGATTCCTTCTTTTTGAATCTTTATAAATAATTTTAGCAGGATAGGGGTTAACTCTTCCTTAAAAGTTTTGTAGAATTCAGACATGAAGCCATCTGGACCTGGGCTTTTCTTTGTTGGGAGGTTATTTATTCCTGATTTAATCTCCTGGCTTGTTATGGGTCTATTCAGGTTCTCTATGTCCTCCTGATTCAATCTTGGTAGATTATATGCATCCAGGAATTTGTCCATCTCCTCCAAGTTATCTTGTTTGTTGGCATATAGTCTCTCATAGTATCCTCTAATGATATTTTTGTGTTTGTGTATTTTGGGGGTTGTTTCTTGAAATTAATCTTGAGTTTAATTCCATCGTGGTCAGAGAAGATGCTGGATACAGTTTCTATGCCTTTGAATCTATAAAGTCTTGATTTATGCCTTAACATATAATCAATCTTTGAAAAGGTTCCATGCCGGGGTGAGAAAAATGTATATGTTGTGGATTTAGGGTGGAAAGTTCTATAGATATTTGTCAAGCTCATTCGACTTATAGTATCATTTAGGTCCTGTATCTCTATTTATTTTCTGTCTAGAAGATCTGTCTAAAGTAGATAATGGGGTATTGAGATCTCCAACAATTATAGTGTTTCTCCCTATCTCTCCTTTTAGCTCCAGCAATCTTTCCTTCACATATTTCGGTGCACCTGAGTTGGGTGCATAGATATTTATAAGGGTTATGTCTTCTTGCTGAATTACCCCATTTACTATTATATAATGCCCTTCTTTGTCTCTTTTTACAGTCTTTATCTTGAAATCTATTTTGTCTGAGATCACTATCGCTACTCCAGCCCTTTTTTGATTTCCATTTGCATGGAATATCTTTTTCCAACCCTTTACTTCTAGTCCATGTATGTCTTTATCCATAAGGTGAGTTTCTTGTAGGCAACAGATAGAGGGTTTCTGTTTTTTTATCCATTCGGCCAGTCTGTGTCTCTTAACTGGAGAATTTAATCCATTGACATTCAATGTAATTATCGATATTTCCATACCCGAGCCTATTGTTAAGTGAGCCATTTTCTTGGTTGCTTTTTGTTCTCGTATAACTGTCTGTTTGATTTTTTAGTTTTCCTGATATAGTTCTCCCTTCAGAACCTCTTGAAGAGCTGGTCTGGAGTTGGTAAATTGCTTCAAATTTTGTTTATCTGAGAATGTTTTTATCTTTTTTTCCCATATGAAAGATAATCTTGCCAGGTATAGTATTCTTGGTTGAAATTATTTTTCGCTCAACACTTCGACTATGTTTCCCCATTCTTTCCTTGCCTGCATTGTTTCTGCCGAGAGATCCAATGTTAGCCTGATGGGGTGACCTTTGTAAGTAACTTGACGTTTCCCTCTTGCCAACTTTAGTATCTTGTCTTTGTTGTTTTTGCCAGTCTGGCTATGATGTGCCTTGGAGAGGATCTTCTTG